ATTTGAGACCAGCAAGTATTACGTGACTATCATTGATGCCCCAGGACACAGAGACTTCATCAAACACATTACAGGCACATCTCAGGCTGACTGTGCCGTACTGATTGTTGCTGCTGGTGTCGGAGAATTTGAAGCTGGTATCTCCAAGAACGGGCAGACCCGTGAGCATGCCCTTCTGGCTTACACGCTGGGTGTGAAACAACACACTTTGTGTGTCTGTGTGGGTGCAAATCTTTACTTAGTATAAAGCTAGTCTTCTATATGTAAAATTAGTTAAAAATGAATCTTAATTTAAAATGGGATGGGAGAGGGAGTAGGAGGTGGGACAGGAGTGTGGGTGGGAGTGTGGGTATGGGGAGGAACCACTATATTCCTAAAGCTGTACCTATGAAAATTGTATTCATTAAATAAAACTTTCTTTAAAAAAAAGACAAAAAGCTTTCTAGGTAGAGGGAGTATCTAATGGAATTTCCCTAAGACAGAAAAAATCTTGGCCTACTCAGAAACAACAATGACAAAGCCTATGTAGCTACAGCATAGTAAAATACTGGAAACTATGTCAAAGAATTGGTAGAGCCATATCATATAGTATATTATAGATTACAGTAAAGGATTTGGAGATAATTTCATTTGCAACAGGCAGCTATTTGGAAGGTTTTCAATGGTGAGAGTTATGTGATTAACCATGACAGAATCACTTATCCCATTGTGAAGAAGTGGATTATGGGGTAAAATGAGGATCAAACTACTCAGAAGGCTGTGGAAGCACTTCAGTTGAAAAGTAATGTTGAGTGGGAATTCAAGGGAGCTAAAAGAGGTAGTAAGTAGTGATCAGATTCAGGATTTTCTGATAGTTTGGATGTTTAGAAAGCATAAAAAGTTAATAGAGATTTAACAGAGTAACAGAGAGAATAGTCATATCATTAAGTGTATAACAAGGGTATAAACGGCATGGATTGTGTTTAAATATGCACAGATATGAGGGCTTTTTCTGGCTCACCTGATATTTTTCAGAAACCCCTACTTAATAGTGGGATGCGGTGGAGGGATGGAAAAAGGCAAAGAGAATTTAAAATCCAGTTCAAGTGAATGCTTAAACTTAATCTGGTCCTGTAATTTAGTAGAATATTCAAGAATTCAATCATTCAGATATTCAAGTAATATTCAGACTATCAGGATGATTCATCTCTCAACCTCATCAGTTCAAGAACTCCTTTCCAAAACTGAAATGTGTGTCTGGTGGTGGCAAGGTTGAAGAGACCCTGGCTCTTGACCCAAGTGTTGTTCATACTAGTTGAGGCATGTTAATGTCCCTTGTAAATTTGCTCACTGTCTATGCTGCTGGCTTTTGTGTGTTTTGGCAAGGGTGGAAGGGGTGGTGGTGGAGGAGGATTATTCCCTTGCTGACCTGGCCTCATGTCAGCTCCCACTGATTTCTGTGGATCTCTCCTAGCTCTACTGTGATTCTCATCCAGTTTTAGCCCCAGCAATCTGCTTTCCAGCCCTTATTATAGCACTACGTTTTTCCCATGGTGGTGGCCAGTCGCTGCCATCTGTAAGCTCCCCACCTGTTTCTGAGTTCCTATCTACATATAGGAACCAAGCAATAGCTCTGGAAAATTTTACCATATGCTTCAGCTCATTTTGAGTATGTGTCAGTTGATATGAGAACATTTTAATTCAGTACAGTTGTGGAGTATTTATATGATTAAGGGTTTTGTGAATTCCTTTATATACCAATATTGCAACAAAAGTTTAGCATTTTTTAAAAGTTACAAATGTAAGTCATGTGTTTTACAAATCAAAGAAATAAAAAAATCAATAGATGAAACAAAAAGCACTTAGTAAAATTTAATATCCATACATTAACTACCATACTTAATGGTGAAACTTCAAAGAAATGAGCTAAGATAACTACTATTCACTATTTCTAGTTAACATTAAATCAAATTCCCAGCCAGTAGAGCAAAACAAAATAAATAACCTACAGGTTATAAAAAGTATTAAGAGTTCAGCAAGATACTGAATATAAAATTAATGTACAAAAATAGATTCCATTCTTCTTCCTTGGCACCAAGCATTTTGAAAACCATTTTTAAATATAAGTTCCAACATTTGCAATAAACCAAGTAAATAGGATTAAATCTAAAAATATTCACAAATACTTTCATAATTTTAAAAAATTTTTTATTAAAGACCTAGATATTTTTATTCATTAATAGGAAGACTCAAAATCATGAAATTATAATTCTCCCCTAAATTTCTTTACAAACTTAGTACTGAAAAAAAAACTTAGTATTCAGTTGACATTACCATAATATTTTTTTGTGTAGAATTTGACTGATGAAAAATGTTTTGGGCCAGCACCATGGCTCACTTGGTTAATCCTCCGCCTGCGGCACCAGCATCCCATATGGATGCCAGGTTCTAGTCCCAGTTGCTCCTCTTCCAGTCCAGTTCTCTGCTGTGGCACAGGAGGGTAGTGGAGGATGGCCCAGGTGCTTGGGCCCCTGTACCCACATGGGAGACCAGGAGGAAGCACCTGGCTCCTGGCTTCAGATAGGTCAGTTCAGCCCGTAGTGGCCATTTGGGGAGTGAACCAACGGAAGGAAGACTTTGTCTCTCTGTCTCTCTGTCTCACTGTCTATAACTCTACCTGTCAAAAAAAAAAAAAAAAAAGAAAGAAAAATGTTTTGAAATTTGTGTTGAAGAGCAAAGACTCAGTATCAAGAAAATATAAATAACGAGTGGTGCAACAGAGGGTGGGAGAGTTGCTAGAGGTTAAGGGAAAACTTGGCCTACCTGGTAACATGTTATCAAAGCTATCGTAATGTAATTAGTGTCATGTTACTCACAGATAGACCAGTGGAAACAGAAGATAACCTAAAACCAAATCTAAGGATATTTTTTGAAATTTTATTTTTAATAAATATGCACTTTATGTCTAAAAGGAAAGAATGAGATATTCAATACATTTACTGGTACAATTGGTTATCCAAATGGGAAAAAAATCCCTCATACGAATGAACACATGCACACAAACAAGTTAAATTCCAATTAATATTAAAGAACTAACTGTGAAAACAAAAATTTTATGATTCAGAGAACATTTAAGAGACTATTTTATGAACTCATGAAGGAAAGGAAGCATTAAGGATCCAAGTAAAACATTGAAAGAAACAAAAAGTATTTGTGAATTTGATTACATTAAAATTATAAGTTGTGTTAAGAAAAAGTTATAATAAACAGGGTGTCTGTGGGGGTTATATACTGTATACATGTATTCTGTTTCTTAAAGTATGTGGTAAGCACATGCATTTTCATTGTACCTTTTAATATCTTCATATGCATTGTATAATTCACTTTAAAAAGTCAACATTGGTTGTAAGAACGAGCATTTTATTGAGCTCTTCATTAAGTCTCATTCTTTCTAAGATTTACATGCATTATCTCATTTAATCTTAGTAACCCTTTAAAGAAGCTTTTTTCTTTTTCAAAAGATTTATTTATTTATTTATTTGAAAGTCAGAGTTAACACAGAGAAGGAGAGGCAGAGAGAGTTCTTCCATCCACTGGTTCTCTCCATAGTTAGCCACAATGGTTGGAGCTGTGCTGATCTGAATTCAGGAGCCAGGAGCCAGGAGCTTCTTCCAGGTCTCCCACGCGAGTGCAGGCGCCCAAGCATTTGGGCCATCTTCTACTGCTTTCCCAGGCCATAGCAGAGAGCTGGATCGGAAGTGTAGCAGCCGGGACTCAAACCAGTGCCCATATGAGATGCCGGCACTGCAGGCAGTGGCTCTACCTGCTACGCCACAGAGTCAGCCCACTGAAGAAGTTTTATTATACTTCTTTTACTAACAGGAAACTGAGACTGTTAGAAGTTAGTTAATTTACCTGGGGTCCTGTAACTATTAGGTGCCAGAGCCAGAATATGAATCTGGAACTCACACCCTTAACTTCTATGAAGATTCATCAGCCTCTTTTTAAAAGGTCTGTTAACTATAAAGTTTTCTGGAGAGTGCAACTATCATTTCTACCTCTGGATGCAGCTGTAACTACACCAATAGAACATAGCAGCTTTGGCCTCTCAACTCAGTGACTGAGACTACAAGAACATTTTACTCAGGAGCACAGGGCATGAGTCATTTCCTTAGGTATCTGTTTATTCACTCAACAAATATTTATCAAGAGCCTACATAGCACATTGGTAAACCACAATTTATTTCTTGTCTACCTCATTTTTGCAGTTTGCCAAGTTTCAGGGACACAAATTTGAAATTTCCATTTTCATTTCCAACTAATGGAGGGAGAATTCTGGTTAGTTATTAGCCACTTTAGAACTTGCAACCTAACTTACCATGGATCTCACTTAAAGCCTAGGCATTGCTGATTTAAAAATTTATATGGTATCCCTATTTTTACTTACCAAAAAAACTGAATATTGAAAACTTTAAATCTGTTTTTGAATAAACAAAGTACCTATTGAAGTGAAAGATTAACAGTTTAACGTGACCATCTCCTTGTCCTCCCTGTATTCCCTTTCTTTTTCCCCACAAATCACAGAGTATCTCTTTAAGACTTGTTACTGCAATGAGATTTTGAGACTTTTCCCTGACTGGGTATTAGATATAATTTTTAAAATATTAACTAAAATATCTACTATATTTTTCATGGAAATGCTGAAATGGATGTATTGAGATTTGCTTCATATTCTTGTTCATTTAAATGATATACTAAAACCAAGTAATTTTTTTTTCTAAAAAAAAATGGAATTTTTCTATCTTGACCATTTTGTGTATGTGAACTTCATGGCCAATAACAGCTATATATGTAAATAAACAGGACCACTTTTTGAATAATTTTACAAATATAATTGTGATAAAAAGCAACTCTTATTTTTATTTAGTGTTCAATTCAGTGATTATCTGATAGGAGTATTCGAGCACTCCATCTTGCCTTTTTTTTAACCATTTACTTCTTTTTGTATATTGAATATTCAGGGACCAGAAGGAATTGTGGGAATTCCAGGGCAAAGAGGTCGTCCAGGAAAAAAGGTAGGTTTTTGACTTATATCCTTTTTTTATCATTTTCTTTCTTCTGACGTGTCCATAGCTCCAGAAAATGCTGTGCTGTTTTAATTTGCATCAGCTATAAAGAAGTGAACAGGCAACAGGATTGTGGGGCAGCGTCCCATGTGGGTGCCAGTTTCTTTTCCACCCTAGGAAAACCATGGAAATGGGCCAAGTACTTGGACCCTGCCATCCTTGTGGGAGCCTGAGATGTAGTTACAGGCTACAGGCTTTGAACTGGCCCAGCCCCAGCCATTGCAGCCATCTGAAGGGCCAGCCAATCGATACAATATTCCTTTCTCTCTTTCTCTTTCAAATAATTAGATAAATATTAGATAAATATTTTTTAAAAAGTCAGAGAACTCAGAGGGCTTCCGTAGCCTTGGAAACTCATGACTAGAGCGTAGGGAGACTACTGATGCCATAGACAGGAGTGTAAATTGGTAAAGTCAACAACAGGAGTCACTGTGCACTTACTCCTCATGTAGGATCTCTGTCCTTAATGTGCTGTGCATTGAGATTTAATGCTATAACGAGTACTCAAACAATATATTTCACTTTGTGTTTCTATGGGGGTGCAAACTGTTGAAATCTTTACTTAATGTATACTAAACGATTCCTCTGTAACACACAAAAAAAAAAAAATCAACTCCCAACTTGACTCTCACTGGGATTAAACATGACAATAGGTCTGATCTGATTTCATCATCATTTAAAAAAAATCATCTATTATTTTTCACTTTATGTCTCTGTGTGGGAGCAAACTGTTGAAATCCTTACTTAAGGTATACTAAGCTGATCTTCTTTATATTAAGATAATCAAAAATGAATCTTGATGTGAATGGAAGGGGAGAGGGAGTGGGAAAGGGGAGGGTTGTGGGTGGGAGGGACGGTATGTGGGGGAAGCCATTGTAATCCATAAATCGTACTTTGGAAATTTATATTCATTAAATAAAAGTTAAAAAAATAAATTAATTAAAAAAAATATTTATACAGAAAAAAAGTAGTAAAGAACTATAAATTTTTCTTAAAAAATACTCATCTTTAAAAATTAATGCTTAATTCCAAATAGAAGTATTTATTACCTTGATTATTTGAAAGCAAATTTTCCAGTTTGTAATTGTAAAAAAGAGTCTTTGTTTTTTATTCTTCTGCTGTTTGCCAAAAATTCTTTAGGTATACCATTAGCAAGAATAGAAATAAAAGAGAAAATACTCTACAATTAGTGCTAATCAATAATAACTTTAGCCGGCGCTGCGGCTCACTAGGCTAATCCTCCACCTTGCGGCGCCGGCACACCGGGTTCTAGTCCCGGTCGGGGCGCCGGAGTCTGTCCCGGTTGCCCCTCTTCCAGGCCAGCTCCCTGCTGTGGCCCAGGAGTGCAATGGAGGATGGCCCAAGTGCTTGGGTCCTGCACTCCATGGGAGACCAGGCGAAGCACCTGGCTCCTGCCATTGGATCAGCACAGTGCACCGGCCGCAGTGTGCCGGCCGCGGTGGCCATTGGAGGGTGAACCAACAGCAAAGGAAGACCTTTCTCTCTGTCTCTCTCACTGTCCACTCTGCCTGTCAAAATAATAATAAAAATAATAATAACTTTAGTAAAACATTTCAGGAAGAAAAATATAATTGTAATCATTTCCTAGTTTGTTATTAACATGTTTGTCTAAACTGGAAAAGCTAATGATTGATTTTTATCTTTCCCATTAAGAAAATTAAGAATGTTTTTATTTGCTTACCTTCTATTTTACTAACAACAAAAAGAGTCTTGATATATTTGTACAATTCTAGTACTTTATAATAATGAAAATATATCTTTGTATAGGATCAATAATTTGTTCAACTATTACTAAAACATGGAAATGGTTCTCACACTGGCCTGAGACAGTTCAAAATATGTTTATTTTAATTAATCTCAAATCATACCGTATTATAGTTTCCAAAGTCAAATTCTAGCATTTCTTAAGAATTTTGGACAGTAGAAGGGAAATAAAGAGAAATGAATGAGGTAACTGTTAGTTACCATTGAGGCCCATGAAATTAGCACCTAGAAGTGAGACAGTGCTGAAACTTACTGGCGTGGAATGACTAGGTCCAGATTATTGCGTAATACAAAGAACTTGCTAAGCAGAAGAATACACTTTAGAGTGACTCCGGATGTCCCTGAGAGTGGGCTGTATCCAACAAGGTTCCAGGTCATCCCTTTATACAATCTGGATGGAGATATCTGGGGTGGTATTAATTAAGGTTTGAATACCACAAATTCCCTTGCCTGTTTTTTTTTTTTTAATTAGAAATCTCAGAAGTGTCATAGCATCAGGTACATGATGGAAGTAGGAATTTCAGCCATAGTATTCTTATTACAATAATATCAAATTAGTTATACATCATGGTGGGAGTGTATATAGTTAGCAACATATTGGTTATTTTCTGCAAGTGGTGATTTTCTGGAAACAGTAGCTTTCCTCTGTACAAAAAGAGAGGGTGGATTGCTTAGATGCAGTAGGCAGGATCGTGGGGAGCAACCTGATGACCTCAGATCTTCCTCACTAGCTACCTCCTGGCCTATATAGTTTTCTACTGTGGGCCCCCTGGAAAGTAAAATAAAGCCTATGAACTGTTATAAATACCAAAATCTTGCTCAATGACTGGTCCCAATTTAGGTTTTTGTTATATCTTCTTGATGATCAATAACAGAACAAGTGGTTCCCACTTTCATAAAGAGAATAATAACATTTTTTTTTAACAGGCAGAGTGGACAGTGAGAGAGAGAGGCAGAGAGAAAGGTCTTCCTTTGCCGTTGGTTCACCCTCCAATGGCCACCGCGGCCGGCGTGCTGCTGCCAGTGCACCGCGCTGATCTGAAGCCAGGAGCCAGGTGCTTCGCCTGGTCTCCCATGGGGTGCAGGGCCCAAGCACTTGGGCCATCCTCCACTGCACTCCCTGGCCACAGCAGAGAGCTGGCCTGGAAGAGGGGCAACCGGGACAGAATCCGGCACCCCAACCAGGACTAGAACCCGGTGTGCCGGCGCCACAGGCAGAGGATTAGCCTATTGAGCTGCGGCGCCAGCCAAGAATAATAACATTTAATGTTGTGTAAGAGCAGCTACAGTATGATGCTAGAGCAAAACCAATCAATGTAATGGAAGTTCTATGGATTTTTACTCTTTCCAAACCAGTGAATGACAGACAATCCTATATATACACACTGTACACACTGCAGCCTATTTTTTTTTATTTTTCATTTCCTATTTTTTGACACTAAACAGATCTTATGGCAGTGAAATCCTCTAACAGACATTTCATTGGAACTAGCTTTTCTCATGATAACACATCCATGTGTACAAACATTCATATGTAACAATATTCAAAATGAAAAACTTGCTTACTAGAAAAAACATAGGTTATCTGGAATTCAACATGAGCATTAGAAATCCTTTGGTTAGTCAAAAATGTTTTAACTTTCTTTTTCCCAAATTACTTTTCTTTAATTTATATTGATATAAAGGGAGCAGATTTCATATATTTCATAGATACAGATCTAAGAAGATAACCATATTTCCCTCAATCCCCTCACCTTTCTTCCTTTTCCTTTAATTATTACAGTAACATAATTTCAATTTACTATATAAATATAGGCTTAATTCACCACTAATCATATTGTTCTTTTATCTTTAGTAACTTATGTGGTGGTAGTATGTTATTATTGTTAGCAGTGAGCTATAGTACTATCAACTTAAAGCAAAGTTGCTATTGATAAATTGTGCTTACCAGATAGCCTGTGGAATCATTCAAGTGTGTGATATAGTTAATTAGTCTAACTATAGATTTGTCCTAGATTTGTCTTTTCTTACTCTTCTCTCTTACTGATGTTATCCACAGGGTGATAAAGGAAAAGCAGGACCCACTGGAGAAGTTGGAAGCAGAGGTGCTCCTGGACAGACTGGGGAAAATGGTCCTAAGGGTGCCCGAGGAACTAGAGGTGCTGTGGTCAGTATCAGATTTGTTTCCAGAACTGAGTCACTGTGGATGGAAAAGAAATGTATCCATGGCCTTACAGTTTCATCCCTTGATGAACTTTACAGAGAAGGCAATAGTTCCATTGAAAATGATCTACTTCCATGGGACACAGGGAATTGTAAGCATTCCACAGCACTTAAACGGCTTAGTGGTTTCTGGACATGAAAAAGGAAAGGGGGGAAAATGAAAATGGAAATAAAATATGAAATGAGCTTTCAAAAAATAAGATTGTGACTTCTAACCTAAGTAGGAAAGTTTATATGCTGAGCACTTAAAATCTAGATTCAAAATGTGTCTATATCTGTGCTCCATGACAAATTGCCCTGAAAATTAGCTTTACTTGAAATGAGTTGTCTTCCTATGCTTGTATTCCACGTGCTTTATCTAGCGATTATTTTTCCAAACACCTGTGATAAAGTTCCAATGTATCTAGTTATATCTTTAATCATTTTCATGAACTTTGCACAGTGTTGGGAAAAATGCAGAAGATATTTCTGAATACATAAAATCATAATTATATCACTAATATATTTGGACCTGTTCAGAAAGTCACAGCATGAAAACAATGCAAAATATTTTTTAAATTATGTAATCCAGTCTTCTGTCTTATGAACCTACTTATCAAATGCATGTATATTTCAATATCTTCATTTAAATGTCACAACTCAGCAAGGCCTTTTGAAGACCACTGCATAACCCATTTCGTGACTGAGGAAGGCTGCCTCAGGTTCAGTTTAAATATTTCTGAGGCAAGTGTTGGCACATTAGTTAAGACCCCAGCTTAACTGAATAGCCTAGGTTCAAATCTCATCTATAATCTTGATTCCTGCTCCCTACTAATATACACCCTAGGATGCAACAGATGGTGGCTCAAGTAGTTAGATTCTGTCCATCCACATGGGAAACCCAAGATTGAGCTCTTGGGTATTGGTTTTGGCCTGGGCAAAGCCAGCTGTTTCAGGCATTTGGAGAATGAACCAACAGATTGAAGATACTTTCTCTCTGTCTTTCTCTCTCTCTCTTTCACTCTTTGTCTGTCTGTCTGTCTTTCTCTCTCTTTCTCTCTTTCTCTTTCTGCCTTTCAAATACATAGAAAGTTTAACTATAAAACATTAAAGAAAGAAATAGAAGAAAACACAAAAAAATGGAAAACTCTTCTATGTTTTTGGATTGGAAGAATTAATATCATTAAAATGTCCATACTACCCCAAACAATTTACAAATTCAATGTGGTCCCAATTAAAATACCAATGACCTTCTTCTCAGATCTAGAAAAAACAGTGCTAAAACTCATATGGAAACATAAGAGACCCCAAATAGATAAAGCAATTTTAAAAAACAAAAATCCAGAGGCATCACAGTACCATACTTCAGGACATACTGTGGGACAGTTATAATTAAAGCAGCCTGAAACTGCCACAAAAATAGACATGTAGACCAGTGAAACAGAATAGAAACCCCAGAAATTAATCCATGCAGCTACAACCAACTAATCTGTGACAAACAAACTAAAATCAATCGTTGGAGAAAGGACAATGTCTTCAACAAATCGTTCTGGGAAAATTGGATCTACTTATGCAGAAGCATGAAACAAGACCCCTACCTTACACCTTATAAAAATAATCAACTCACAGTGGATCAAGGATCTAAATCTATGATATGATACCATCAAATTACTAGAGGAAAACATTGAGGAAACTCTGCAAGACATTGGCATAGGCAAAGACTTACTGAGAAAGACCACAGAAGCACAGCCAATAGTGACAAAAATAGACAAATGTGATTATATCAAGCTAAGAACCTTCTGCATTATAAAGGAAATTCCCAACAAAATGGAGAGGCAACCAACAGAATTGGAAAAAAATATTTGCAAACTATACAACTGATAAAGGATTAATATCCAGGATCTATAAAGAGCACAAGAAACTCAACAACAACAAAACGAACAATACATTTAAGAAATGGGCAAAGAATATGAACAAGCATTTTCAAAGGATGAAATACAAATGGCCAACAGACACATGAAAAAATACTAGGATCGGCCGGCGCCGCGGCTCACTAGGCTAATCCTCCGCCTAGCGGCGCCGGCACACCGGGTTCTAGTCCCGGTCGGGGCGCCGGATTCTGTCCCGGTTGCCCCTCTTCCAGGCCAGCCCTCTGCTGTGGCCAGGGAGTGCAGTGGAGGATGGCCCAGGTGCTTGGGCCCTGCACCCCATGGGAGACCAGGAAAAGCACCTGGCTCCTGGCTCCTGCCATCGGATCAGCGCGGTGCGCCGGCCGCAGCGCGCCGGCCGCGGCGGCCATTGGAGGGTGAACCAACGGCAAAGGAAGACCTTTCTCTCTGTCTCTCTCTCTCACTGTCCACTCTGCCTGTCAAAAAAAAAAAAAAAAAAAAAAAAAAAAAAAATACTAGGATCATTAGCCATCAGGGAAATGCAAATCAGTACCACAATGAGATTTCACTTCACTGCAGTTAGAATGGCTATCATCCAATAATCAGAAAACAATAAATGTTGGCGAAGGGGAACAGGAACCCTAATCCACTGTTGGTGGGAATGTAAACTACTATAACCATTATGCAAAACAGTATGCGGATTCCTCAGAAATCTCAAAATAGAGCTACCGTATGATGCAGCCACACAACTCCTAGGAATTTACTCAAAGAAAATGAGATCAGCATATGAAAGAGTTATTTGTACCCACATGTTTATTGCAGCTAGGGTATGGAAACAATCCAGATGTCCATCAGCTGATGACTTGATAAAGAAAATGTAATTTATACACACACACACACACACACTGTGGAATACTTCTCAACCATAAAAATGAATGTAATCTTGTCTTTTGCAAGAAAATGGATGCAACTGGAAACTATTATGCTCAGTGAAATAAACCAGTCTCAAAAATACAATTATCATATGTTTTCTATATGTGGCAGTTAACATAAAATAAAAAATGTGTAGGAATGAAGTAGACATTTTGGGAAATGATTGTCATTTTTAGCCCTTCTTATACTTCTATGCAACTGTGGTCTTCCTGCCTTTTACTTATTGAATATTATAATTAGTGGTAAATTAAGCCTGTGAATACAGTGAATTAAAATTATGTCTTTGCCAAAATTGATGAAGATAAGTGAAGGAAGAAGGGAAGTTGATGGGGAGCAGGGGAGTGAAGGAAGTCTGGTTGTCTTTTTGAAGCTGTACCTATGGAATACATGAAAATCTGGTATCTTTATATTAATAAAAAATTTAATTAATAAAATTAAAAGGAGTTCCCCAAATTTACCTAAAGTTAAAAAGTATTCTGTTATTCAGTCATCTTACTACTCCAGAACTTATTTTCTTTTTATTTAAATTAAAAGAAAAGCTTATTTTGTTGTGAAAAAATGTGAAACCATACATTGTTTTTTCATAATACACATCTTCTGTGAACTTTTGAGGACTGCGTATGCCTGGACTTCAGAAATTTTCACATAGAAATAATCATTTTTTTAATCACTATGCCACAACACTGGCTCTACTAGGTGACTTTTTTTTTTTTAACATTAAGAACTGTTATATCCAAAGAATATTGTCTTCACAGTAGGCTCCTATCTTGGATGTTTTTGCTGTGAAATTACTCACTTTTTAAATTTTGGCATATGTTCCCAAACTACCATCCTGAGAAGTTTTACCGAGTTCATATTCCCACCTCTGACTCTTCTTGTTGATGCTTTCATGTTTGCCAGTCTGATAAATTGAAAATATATCCCATTTTTCTTTCTTTTTACATTTCCATGCTTGCAACTATGTAATTTGTACTTTCTTCCTTTAGAAGATACCTGTTAATGCATACTTTACATGTTTTTCTCTTAGGTTGTGGTCTGTTTCTTCTTGATTTGTAGCCATTCCTTATACATTTTAAATAATAATACAGTTTTTTAAATATGTTGCAAAATGTATTACAAATGTTCCCCCCTCTGCCATTTATTTTAATTTTTTATGATATCTTTTTACCATAGACCATTTTAAAATTTTTTAAAGATTTATTTATTTATTTATTTATTTGAAAGGCAAAGTTAGAGAGAAAGGGAGAGATCATCCATCCCACTGTTTCACTCCCCAAATTGCCTCGATAGCCGCAGCTGGGCTGATCTGAAACCAGGAGCCAGAAGCATCTTCTGGGTCTCCCACGTGGGTGCAAAGGCCCAAGCGTTTGGGCCAAATTCTGTTGCTTTCCCAGGTGTATTGGCAGGGAGCTGAACTGGAAATAGAACAGCCAAGACTTGAACCAGTCCCCATTTGGGATGCTGGTGCTGCAGGTGGCAGACCCACTATGCCACAAGGGCTGACACCAGAACATTTTGATGTTTAATGTCAAACTTGTCAGGGGAGACCCAAATGGAGTCCTTGGCTCCTGGCTGTGGCTTGGCCCAGCCCTGGCTTTTCCTTTATAGATTCTGAGCTTTATTTCTTGGTTAGAAATGCCATCTCTACCTAAAGTATGTAAATTCATTCTTCCAGATTCTTCTCCTAATACTTTCATAACTTTATTTTTACCCTTAAATCTTTGAGGCCTATGGAGTTTATGTTTTTGGTATGTGAATTGTAGAAGCCTAATTTTCCTCTTCCCAAATTGATTGATGATTTTCTCAATTGCATTTCTTGAACAGCTGTCCTATCTCCTATTTTTCTGAAATGCTACCTTTTCCATTAACTAACCTCCCAAATATTCACTGATCTGTTTTCATTCTGTCTTCTCTCAATTTGTTGTCTGTTTCTGAGTCAGTAACATACTATTTTAATTATTATATTGTTCAAGTATATTTTGAGACCAGTTAAGCAAACATTCTATAACCATTTTCAACAGTTTGTTTCTATTTTTTAAGCTTTTGTCTAAAAATTCATCTGTTTTATCTAGAATTTCAAAGTTAATAGTTGAAAGTTGTAATTACCATGTTTTTATTTTTAAATTTTTTTCTGTGATTATGTCCTAATGATATTTTATTGTGCCTACTCTTTTTCTGGATCAGAATTGCCAAGTATTTAGCTATTTTATTAGTCAGTTCAAAAAGTATTTTTCACTCAATTTTATGGCTTTCTATTTTATTGATTTATGTTTTAATATTAGTTTCTCCCCTTGCTTATTTTATAATTCTTTTTCTATCTTCTTGAATTGAAATGAAACAAAAATTATATTAATAAAATAAATATCCAGGTCATTTAATTTCTATATTAAATGTGTATGGAGCTAACTGTTTTCTTCTGAGTGGCTACTTTAGCCATATTTTTGTCAATATTTTCACTACCATTCACTTCTAAATAGCTTTCAATTTAAGATTTTACCTACTCCTTAACAAGAATTACTTTAAAGGATACTTTTCATTTAAATAGATTCTTTTTAGCTACTTATTTCCAGATGATATGACCTATATGAGTTATACTTTGAGGAACTTTGTTAAATTTTCTTTGAGGCCTATTATATACACAAGTATTGTCAAAAGATTGTATTATTTTTTGTGTGTTTTGAGTCCATAGCTCTATGTGTTTTTATTACATTATATTTATTACATTATTATTATTATGTGTTGCTCAAATCCTGATGCCCTCCCCGACCCTGGTTTGATTTGTTGATTTCTGAAAGAGGCTGTTGAGATCTCATCAATATTAACTTCTTCACACTTATTTTTTACGGATTGCATATTTTATATAATCTTAGGTACATTAAGATTCATGATTCATATTTTCTGTATAAATCTCAAATTTGTTTCTATTTGTAGTGGCTCAAATCTATCCATCATTGGAGCCATCTGACCACAGTTCCCACACTCACTCATTTATCCTCTAGGTTAATGCTGCTCTCAAAAATCCAGCACAGTCAGAGGAGTAAGACGACATTCTGCTTCCTTTCCACAGTTGGTCATGGTCTACCTGACTCTATTCTGTGTGAAACCTCCTTGAGATCATTTGCACAACTGCAGCAGTTCTCTTCTTTGCATATTATCAGCTCCAGTTTCCTCTCTCAGATCACAAAATTTTGGCCCACTGATTATATTTACTTGATTTCCAGTATTGTTGTCATAAATAAGTAGCTCCTCTCTCTTTCACTCTCATGAAACAAGCGTATTTCATTTAACCATCTTGATCCAATATGCACAAGCTTCTTAGCAAGCTTTGGACAATTTTCTTATATTATTTGTAATTTAAATTTTTATTTATTTTCATTTTATTTGAAAGGCAGAGAAACAGGGAGCGGGGGAGACAAACCACTCACTGGTTCACTTTCCCAAATGCCTACAATATCCAATAATGGACCAAACAAAAACTAGGAATCCAGAACACAATCTGAGTCCTCCAAGTAGATGGCAAGGAGTCAAGTATTTGAATCATCATCTGCTGCCTCCCAGAATGTGCGTTAGCAGGAAGCTGGAATAGCAAGTGAGCCTGTATTCAAACTTAAGTGTTCCAGTATGGGATACAGACATCCTGAGCAACATGTTAATATCTCCTCCAAATGCCCCATAATTTTTAATTGTGCTAAATTGATTTTATGCAGTTATTTTTTTTCAGACTGAAATTTGGTCCTCACTGAAAGAGTTTAAATTTACTGATTGTTAGTTAATAATTATGATATGGATGGGCTTTTTCAGAGCTGGGACTTTAAAGAAATCATCAAACGTAGTGAAGCAGTGTGATCAGATGGGCAATATATCTCTTGGTCTACATGTAGGACCAAGAGACCTGGTTCTTGTGCCTATTTAATGTGATATTTGACAAGTCATGTACATATTCTCTTGCCTTAATTTCCTCATCTCCTGTTTGTTTAGAGGCTCAGATTGAAGAGATAACATGGAAACTTTTTGATAATATGAAAGACAGGACATATTTAGAGTCATTATTTGCACTTTTTTCAGTTCAGTGTCATCTTTTCAGTTTGTTGGGGCATTACTGGTTAGCTTTTAATTAATATGGTTTCTCCATCTATAAAATATTGATAAATGGTCATTATCACATATAAATTGTCAACCATTTCTTTAACAGCTTTGACCAGAAATAAAATCATATCCATCAAAGCATCTGAAACTATCAGTGACTATTATTACATTCTCCTGTATTCTGTATTGACAATATCGAGAACTCTTAGACTTCTCTCTGTGATAAATATCTACCACAAACTTTAATGAATGCAAACTAAATTTCAAATAATTTTCTTGGGACAATTTTCTGATAACTGAAATTTTTTTTTTCATATGAGTAAGGATGTTCAAACAGAAGCAAACCAAGGAGAACTTTGTGGTTCAGAAGAAAAATATAGGGAAAAGCTGGGGTGTTATTTTCTGTTTTCCCTTTCAAATTAAGTAGAATTTCAAACCATGAAAAGTGTAAATAAAATAATTTAAACAACAGAAGTACAAGTTTAATAATTTACATAATTGTCTTTTTTCTCTGTCTCTGATATTTACTTTGTTTTTTAGGGTCCTATAGGATTAATGGGACCTGATGGAGAGACTGGAATTCCAGGTTATAGTGTAAGCATTTATAACTGAAGAAATATATATTTTTGCATGTCAATACTTATATCAAAGATGATATCCCAGATATGCAAATTAAGGTGAAATCTCCTAAATGAATCTTTCTAACATGGTGAAGCCTCATTCCTCTATAAATTGTTTTTCATTTCATAGTGGTTCACTATCTAATAGAATGGGCTTGCTGGCATTGGGTAGAGCATGTACAAAGAACATAAAGAATGTTTATCATTTTGTAGGGCCATCAAGGTCAACCAGGACTCTCTGGGTTTCCAGGACCTAAAGGAGAAAAGGTATGTGTGTATACCATTGACTTTTTAATCTAAGCATTGAATTCATGAATTCTTTCTAAAAGAATGCATGAAAACATTTTCAAGGAATGAAAGAAGCACTTCTCAGGTTGGAAATTTTGCAAGTTCTAGACAAAGGAAATATAAATATCAAGGAACTAAAATTTAAATAAATTACTATGATATCTTTGAGTAATTTCGTAATTGAGATGAAATAATTTATGTGAAATTGCTTTACAGTCCATAGAACTTAGTAAAATTAGAATGAGTTAAACAAAGAAATTGTTAAGTCTCTAAGTTAAATGACTAATTGTATAGTCTGTTTATACTAAAATTTTTTGATAGTTTAGGAATAACTGCAGCTGTACTCTTGATATCATTAACAATCTGATACTAAGAAAATTCATAAATTGCTGTTTTTAAGAAAAGAATTATTTACTTACTTGAGTGACAGAGACACAAAGCTCCTTGTTCATTGGTTTATTACCTAAATATTCACAGTGGCCACAACTGGACAGGCCAAGGCCAATATCTAGGAACACAATCCAGTTATCCTCTCACATGGGTGTCAGGAACCCAAATACTTGAGTCCTTACTACTGCCTCCCAGGATCCGCATTAACAGGTAGTTGGAATCAGGAGCCAGAGTTGGGATGACACTATTATATGGGGCTCAGGCATCCTTACCAGCATCTTTAACCACTAGGCCAGATGCCAGCCACCTGAACTTCTTTATATATGAATCAGATTGACATATCCAAAAAGAACCATGTGTAAATTATAACTATGTATGAAATATCACATGTTTAGTTTCTTAGGTAAAATTTTCCTGTTAAAACCAAATTGAATATTTCCTAACATATTAGAAAGTTATAGAATGTGCATTTTAAGATTATTTTTAATTTGATTTCATTTTAAACAATTATTTTCACTTTAGGGTTACCCAGGAGAAGATAGCGCAGTCCTAGGACCACCTGGGCCTCGAGGTGAACCAGTAGGTCTTTTCTAAAATTATTTTGATGCTTCAAGATAAAATACAGTTACTCTAATAAATTCACAGCACCAGTCGACTTTTGAGGAACTTTATTTTGGTAGTTTTCTGTTGTGATTCAGTCAGTATTTGTTGCCACAAAATTGAAATATATGAAAGTCATGGGTATGAAATATATGCGGCCTAAATATGAAGTATGTGTAGCCTAAGATCCTTATCATAGTTTCTTGGTTCCAAAATGTCACTTTCAGCATTGAATGTATGATAACTTTTTACAGTATTTTCAAAAACTCACATACTCTATACTTTTTAGGATGGATATTTCTGTAGTTAGCAAACTCACATTTCTTTCTAAAGTATTAAAAAAAAACTGAGCCATATACTTTTTGTACTTAGAATTGCCAAGTGATTTGAAATACCTTCCAACCAGTTATCAAAACCAGTAACTATTAAAAAAAAATCACTGATCTGTTGTCTTCTAATTAGGCATGTTAAAGGCAAATCATAACCACAATTTTTGAAAAGTGCTTAACTGTAGTTTTTATTACCTGAATATCTGTGTTTCTGCTTGACTACCATAGTGCCTAAAGGATACATGTAGATTAAACAACGGTGTCTTAGTCCATTTTTTGTTGCGATAACAAAATACCTGTGTATTTTGTAAAAATGTGTAATTTGTAAAGAAAAGAGCTTTGTTTAGCTTACAGTTCTGAAGGTGAGGGAGTGTCAGTGGGACTGAGGTCACACCTGGTGAGAGCCTTATTGCTGAAAGGAATTCTGCAGTGTTGTAAAGCAGCACAGAGCATCACCTGGTGACAGGTGGCCTGCAAGACAGAGTCAAACTGGCATTCATAACATAGTCACTCTTTTTTTAAGATTTATTTATTTATTTGAAAGAGAGTTATAGAGAAAGAGAGAGACAGAGAGAAATCTTCCATCTGCTAGTGCACTCCCCGGATGACCACAGCTGTTGGAGCTGGGCTGTAATGAAGCTAGGAGCCAGTAGTTTCTTTTGGGTCTCCTTGAATGGCAGGGGCTCAAGCACTTGGACCATCTTCCACTGCTTTCCCAGGCACATTTAGAAGGGAACTGAACTGGAAGTGGAGCAGCCAGGAATCAAACCGCTGTATATATTTGGGATGCTGGTGTCTCAGGCAGCGGCTTTACCCACTATGCTACAGCACCGACCCCAACATATTCAACTCTTACTATAATACATTAGTTCACTAAACCAAAAATTAATTAATCCATTCATGAAAGAGCCTTTATAATCTAATCACCCTTCAAAAGTCCCCAACCTGGCCCCACCCTCACAAGGTGGAAATTTCAACATGAGTTTCAATGGGGACATTCAAACCACAGCAAATGAGTAAAACCAAAAAACAAATGCTTAGTTCACAGAGATAATAAATGATAGTTTTCACATAGCATCATATAGGATAAAAGAATCCTAGGAAACAAGGACTAATATACATAGGAGTCACTTCTAATATTTTTATCTCTCTGGAGGTGATTGAAAGTACTAATTTGTTTTAGAAATACGAAAGATTCTGGAATTTTTCTGGTTAAATCAAGATATCTCATTCAGAGGTTGACTTTTCTATAGAAATATGTAAGTGCCTTTGACAAATATTCTAGTCTAAACCACTAACAGAAGGAAATACATTAAAATAATATAAATTTACTAGTAAATGGGGAAATAATTAGCCAATAGAGTATAGAATGTTTGCTTTTCCTAGATTGGGTACACCAGGATCAAAAAATGTCACCTAATGTATAATAAACATATTGAGAATCTAATATAACAATGATGGTTTTGTCCAGTAGATATGGGACAAGTATCAAGCTTAAATATCCAAAATAACTAAAACATAGGCAAAAGTCATTATCTTCACATTATGTCTATTAACCTTACCCACTAAGAATGGGTTAAAATTTATTGATATTTCATAATAAATTCTGTGGTTTTACCAGCTCATTTCAACTTTCTGTTCAGACAGTAAATCCTCATATGCAATAACTGACATTTTTGGTGTATTTTGGAATAGATATTTTAAATAGTTTATCATAATGAGATTTTATAGTAGAAATATTTAGAAAAAACAGGTGAGTTTATTTGTTAAGAATTAAAGTTAATAAGTACAATTATATTAGGTTAATGTATGCCTAGAAAACTAAAAATTTCACAGATTAGAGACTGAACAGAAGAATGTCTGATGAAGAAAATAAACTATTATTTTTTAAATGATCATTTAAATATCTTATATCACTAGTGAAATTAAGTAAGTAGCTGAATGGTCTTACTTAAATCTTTTTCAATCATTTAAACATCAAATAAAATGTAAGTTATTTGGCATCATTTATAACATACTGTACTCATCTAAAAATTCATATTATTTAACTGAATTTCATTTCTCCAACATTTTTCCTAGCCAAATCATTGTGAAGTTAAATTTACATAAATCAGTACTTAGCATATTTTGATGATGTCTTGATATCATGTGGAACTAAATAAATTATTACATAATTTCTTTTATATTTTTTGTAAAGGGATAAACCACACTGATTGTTTCATCCTCGTTCACTAGAAATTAGTTTCAGCTGTGAAATAGTTTTTGTGTATGGTCTTTTTAGGGTCCAATGGGGGAACAAGGAGAGAGAGGAGAACCTGGAGCAGAGGGCTATAAGGTAATTCTGTGTTATACAACTTGCTTCTAAATTTGAGTAGAGTTCTCTGAATCTGCTCAACTTCAAATGAAAACAAGCATCATGGAGATGTTTGGTAATGTCATAACTTTTGATTGTTTTTGTTGTTGTTTTGTTTTTGATCCTAGAAGAAGCCTAAGTCTTTCTAGTTTGTGTTCTTTCTGCCTTGAATAATTTTTGTCTCTTCCTCTGTTGCTTTCCTCTCATCTTTCAGCCAGGAATTCCTTGACGTTTCCCACTTGAGTACATGAGCCCAACTACTTCTGCCATCCTCCACTAGTTGCCCAGGCACATAAACAGGGAGCTGGATCAGAAGTGGAGCAGCTAGGATGCTAACTGGTACCCATATGGGATGTCAGTGCCGTAGGTGGCTTTACCCGCTAGACTCCTGCGCTGGCCCCACAAAACTAAGCTTTTAGTAATGAATTGTGGGCCAGCACCACGGCTCACTAGGCTAATCCTCTGCCTGCGGCGCTGGCACTCCAGGTTCTAGTCCCAGTCGGGACGCTGGATTCTGTCCCGGTTGCTCCTCTTCTAGTCCAGCTCTCTGCTGTGGCCCAGGAAGGCAGTGGAGGATGGCCCAGGTCCTTGGGCCCTGCACCTGCATGGGAGACCAGGAGGAAGCACCTGGCTCCTAGCTTTGGATCAGCGCAGCACACCGGCCATAGTGGCCATTTGAGGGGTGAACCAACAGAAGGAAGACCTTTCTCTTTTTCTCTCTCTCTCACTGTCTAACTCTTCCTGTCAAAAAAAAAAAAAAAAAAAAGAAGTAATGAATTGTGGATTAACTGAACAGTACAACCCTCTCTCAAAGTAAAATTTCTGTGGTCATCTCTGAAACGTAGACGTAGGTGAGCCTGACTTCAGGACAAACAGGTAGGTAGGTAACAGTCATTAATAAGCTGATTTTTCCAAGACAATGAATCTGAAAAATTAACTTTTACTTCCTAAAATTATCTTTGAGCAAATATTGAGAATAGGTCTTAATGTTTGTAAAATTATTGTGATATCTTCCTGTTTTGATCCGAAGCCAGGAGCCAGGAGCCAGGAGCCAGGAGCTTCGTCTGGGTCTCCTACATGGGTTCAGGGGTCTAAGGACTTGGGCCACCTTCTACTGCTTTTCCAGGCCATAGCAGAGAGCTGGATTGAAACTGGAGCAGTTGGGACTCGAACTGCCGCCCATATGGGATGCCGGCACTGCAGGCAGTGGCTTTACCTGCTACGCCAGAGCACCGGCCTTGTACAAGTGTTTTGTAATCCAAGATATCCAGTGAATTTACCTGAAATTAAATTTTTGTTGTTGTTTTGGTTTGGCTTGGTTGTTTTGTTTTGTTTTGTTTTGTTTCAGCAATCAGGTGCTTCCAGCATAATTTAAAAACCTCCTGAAAACCCATCAACTTTTTCTGTTCATGACTTTTCACACAATCCCAAGAATCAGATTCTTTTTTTTTTTTTAAGATTTATTTATTTATTTTGAGAGCCAGTGTTACAGAGAGAGATGGGGAAAGAGAAAGAGAGAGAGAGAGAGAGATCTTCCATCCACTGCTTTACTTCCCAGATGGCCACAATGGCCAGCACTGGTCTAGGGCAAAGCCAGGAGCCAACAGCTTCATCTGGGTCTCCCATGTGCATTGCAGGGGCCCAAAGACTTATATTTTTTCACAGCTTTTCCCAGGCCATTAGCAGAGAGCTGAATTGGAAGTAGAGCAGCTGGGACTTGAACTGGTGCCCATGTGGGATGCCAGCTTTCCAAGTGGTGGCTTTACACAGTACACACAATGCCAGCCCACAAAATCAGATTCTTACAATATCTTCTTTTGGCCTCTACCCACTTCAAAACATCCAGTAGCTAAATCAATATATTTCTCAGCAAATGAGCAGTTAACTATTCAATTGGAAGGAGAAAACAATCTCTTCACCTGGATTGCAGAACAGAAGCCGTGCCCTTGTTATTCTAGACAGTGAGGCATTCTTCAGAAATCCTTCATCAGAGGGAGCCGCTTCCTGGGCTCACTTTGGAATCTCTTTCCCCTTCGTCCTTTCATATATGGTCCTGAAGAGGTTGTGAGTTGTGCATGTTTCATGTGCATCTTCCTTTCTGTCTGATTCCATCTTAAGTCCTTAGGTTTTAGGGGTTATTTTATCATGTATTGTCATTGGTTCTGTTCCAAACTGTCAGCCGTCTAATGGCACACAGCCACACTGATTGTATTGCCTCAGTACTTCAGAGTCATGAAATACATTTCTCCCCAACCCAGTTTTCCTTTGCATAGGTTTGATTTATAGAAGGGAATCATGTTTTATTGGAGTTAGCTTATCCTGTGGTGGCTGCAGGTGATATTTTTAAATGTTTGCTTTTTTATGGTTATTTATATATGCTATGATTTAATCCTGGTAAACTGATAGTTCACCACCAAATTTATTAACTTGTGGCTAAATATAGATAACAAAATTTACCATTAAAAAGCTGTACAATTCAGTGATATTTAGTGCAATCAGGTTGTATCTAAGAGAAGAAAATTATCTTTCCCTTCTGCCTTCCTGAATCCTCTGGGGCTCCTATAATAAAACAAATTAACAAAAGGAAAGCACAGAGATTTATTTATTGTAGGTTTTAGGAGACACAGAAGCCTTCATAAAGAAATGAAGACCTTAAAAAGCAGTTAAACCTGAGTGTTTTTATGCTACAGTTGATGAAAGGTAGAGAGTGATGGAAGAATGTAATAAAGTAAAGATAAAAGCCAAGACTAGTGGCATAAAGCAAGGCTTAGGCATGCCTGCTCATTCAGATTCCCTTCTGTGTCACTTCACCCAAGGACTGGGCTGTTCCTTTACTCCAAGGACGGGGCAGGCATCTGACTGCTTAGGGTCGCATGCTCTACTGCAAGGGAAGATCAGACAGGTTTTTCTGCACATGCTGCTTCTCAAATTTCCTCTGCCCAAAATATTCGTATTCAAAGGTGCTATATTTTGGAATAGTGTGTCTTGAATCTCTTCATACACCATCAAGTTCCATTGTATTTTCAGCACTTAGAAAATGAAGCAGTCGTTTTCTACTCTCAGCCCCTGGCAACCACTGTTGTCTCTGTGGATCTGTATATTCTGGATATTTCCTATCCGTGGAATCATACAACATACAGTTCCTTGGGTCTGGCTCCTTTCACATGGCATAATGTTTGGAAAATTTCTCCTAGTGTAGAATGTTAGTACTTCATTCCCTTTAATGGCTAAATAATCACCAAGCAATATTTTTTTAAGTTTCTGGAGAATACTGGAGTATTTGCTTCTTTGCTATTCCTAATCAACAATCTTATAAAGCTCTTTTTCTTCAATTTTTTGTTTATATAAAGTGGACAGATTTCATGTATTTCATATATACATTTTATGAGCATAATGATACTTCTCACCCTACCCTCCTTCCCACATTTCCATCCTCCCTTCACCTTCCTCTCTTATTCTTTCTTTTAATTGTTTGCAACCCTTGTCTCTACTGTTGAGGAACAGTGTTTTTTTTCCTCTTACTATTTGTTGAATTCTTTACTTAGTGGAGGATTAAGTTTATGATTCTAAAATAAACTGAAAGTATGTCAACCTTTTTAAAATATTTATTTATTTATTTATTTATTTATTTATTTATTTATTTATTTATTTATTTGAAAGAGTTACAGAGAGGGGGAGAGAGAGAGAGATCCGCCAATCACCACTTCACACTCCAGATGGCCGCAATGGCCAGGGTTGGAGCAGGCCAGAACCAGGAGCTTCTCCTGGGTCTCCCTCGTGGCTGGCAAGAGCCCAAACACTTGGGCCATCTTCTACTGCTTTTTCCAGGCCATTAACAGGGAGCTGGATGGAAAGTGGAGCAGCCAGGACATGGACTTTTGCCCATATGGGATACAGGTGTCACAGACAGTGGTATTACCTACTAATCCACAATATCAGGCCCAATCACCAAGCCTTTTAACATTTTTACATTCACAAACATCTTTGCAGTTGTGAACTCATAAGTATCCTATAGGAGAAAAAATGGAATGGATAATGTATATTTTGTTTTCCTTTTGTGAACTTTAGTGAATTTTTTTTAAATCCTTCTCACTATCCTTTGTTCTTACTTCCCCTTGGTTTAACTTAGAATAACAAAAGTCAAGGGTCTTTCTCATTGTTATTAATACATACTTACATATGTGACACAATTCATGTGTCATGTATGATAAAATTTCTACAAATTCTCCCTCTGGTCATCCCATGAAACTTTTTATATCTGCAATGGGCTAGGAGCAGAGCTAGATACCACAGATACAACACTGGATACACTTGACATAGCCTGTGCCCCAGTGGACACATCAAAAGATGCATCAAAAGATGTATGGAATAAGAACATTTAATCAGTATAAAAATATACATAGTAAATTTTAGCTATATCCTGTGAACTATGCATCACATGAATCAACATAAATTCATTTAAAGCTTGAAAGGTCAGTTCATGGCAGAAATAGCATATTATCCTGTCAACATCTACTTTTTAAATATACGAGCAAAAACATACAAATACCAAGATTCAATCAAACTAAACTTATATAAAAGAAGTCCCAAAATATATTGAATAAATTATGTTGCATCTAAAGCTCCTTTTTACTTTGGTTTGGCAAAGGCAGTAGAATTTTTTTTGCATACAATGAAATGAGTTATTAATTCCCAAATAGCCTTTACTCCTTAACATCAGATATACATATCCAAATAGCTATGGAATATCATTACAGGCACTTCAAACTCAGTATATGTCAAGCCATAATAGCATCATTCTTCCCTGATTTGACCAGGTGCTCCTTTTGTTATGTCCTCAATTCAGTGAGTGGTACTACTAGACATCCAGGTGTGAACACTAGTAAATTTTCTCTCCCTCTCTCCCCACTCCCCAGGCCCTTTTCTTTCTCTTTTTTCCTCCCTTTATTTATCCCTCACATCAGTCAGCCACTTCTTTTGTGTCTTAAATATTTTTGGAATCTAGCCACATTGTCCTACTTTAGTTCAAAGTCTCATCATTTTTACCTAAATTGTTTCTATAGCTTTCTGATGAGACTCTCTGTCCCTCAGCATAGCTCTCCCAAATCCATTCTCCACTTACCATCTTCTGTCAAATGATTGTGTATTATTTCTCATGACATTACCCCCAGACAGGATGTCCTCACTTTACTACCTGGAACAGCATCCTTCAATGTTGAGCTTATTGTCACTTCCCTTATAAAATCGTCTCTAAGAGTCCCTCGGTCATCCAACTCATCCCACCATAATATCATCAGGTAAACTCCATCACTTCCCTGAGCCTCCCCTAAATAACATTATAGTAACATTTACTAAGGCACATTTAATTTTTAACACTATATATTGTCAGTTTTTATTGGGATGAAATGCACCAGAATAATTTCAGTGAAACTCCTAGGAAGATTTGTCTTAGGTGAGATTTGTGTCTAGATTTCACAACTCCAAGAGAGGCAGTTGGCTAGTCCAGGATCCCTCCGAAAAGGTCTCTGTGATACCACAGAAAAGGCTGATGGCAAAGCTGTAACCGTCCATGATACTCACTTTGTGATTCCAGTTTTTCATCAGCCACTTCTCTCCTGAATCCTGTTTCATAAGTAACCAACAAGTAGTCATATTTACTTATACCATACTCCCCCCTAGTTGGCCTGATTCTGTTATTTTCTGGCTCTTCTCATGTTTTCTGCTGATGGTCATTTGTGCAAATTGTTTTCTCTTTAGTGTGGCCATGTGCTATATAGAGAGCTTTCCAAGCTAGTCTTCCTCACTCGCCACTGTTCATTTCCTTAAACAGGATTTATTTTCTCTACCAGGAAGTTGAAGCTTAAAACTGTAAATATTTGCCTCACAGAATGCAAAGTAGGTTTCAGTTGGCCTTTCCATGAAATTTTTATTGGCTTAAATATGCAATCCCTTCTTCTCTTTGCTCAGAAAAAGGAGATGAGCCTGATAACTATCTTTCCTAAGGCATTCTTTCTGTAATATGTGTACAGTAGGAAGAAAGGAATGTGAGCAAAAAGGACAGTAGAGAAGGGGATAAAAGAGATTACCTATTGAATTCTTCCTGCATAACTCTCTCCTGCCATGTCCCCTGGCTTATTAGTTTTTGTTTACACACTTAAAAAGGGAAAAATGTAGGTCAGCATTCCTTCTTAGAAAAACTAGGGTGATGATAGTTTTCTCATGTCAGAGTCATTTGATATTTCTTGTTATTGTATATAGTAACTGTGACCATGTCTTCAGGTCAGGAAATCTATCCAAATAACTGTGAAATTCATTCAAACTCTGTCCCTTTGATTATTGACCATGCAGCTGGCCCTGCATAGCTGCGGTTTCCACATGTATGGATTCTACCAACCAGAGATGAAAAATTTTTGTAATTGCATCTGCACTGAACATGTAAACCCTTTTTTGTCAATATAGTATAATGACTATTTATATAACCTTCACATTGTATTAGCTATTGTAAGTAATCTGGAGCTGGTTTAAAGGGAAGGATTTGTGTAGTATGTATGCAAATGTTATGTCATTTTACATAAGGGACTTAGAATAATGAGGCTGCTGTAACAAATTACCACAAGTAGATACCAAAGTGGATGGCTAAAAACATAAATTTATCCTCCAGTTCTGGAGGCTAAAAGTCTGAAAGTAAGGCATCAACAGGCCCCTCACCCCATGCCTCCCTCTTAGAGCCCAGAGGAGAACCCATCCTTGCCTCCTCCAGCTTCTTGTGGCTGTCAGCATTCCTTATGGCAGCATTATTCCAGAGGCTGCCTCTGTCTTCACTTAGCCTTCTCCTCTGCTGTTCATATTTGTCTTCCTCCGTGTACCTCTTACAAGGCCACTTGTATGTGGATGTAGGTACCATTTGGATACCCTAGGATAATCTCATCTTGAGATCCTTCGCTTAATGAGATCTACAAAAAGCTATTATCCAAATAAGGTCACATTCATAGGTTATGTTGATTAGGACATAGACATATCTTTGGGGAGGGCACCATTCAACCTGCTATGTTAACTCATATTTTCAAAAAAATCTTGTATATATTTGTTTGTTTTCAATCACCATAACTTCTATCCATTATTTTCTTTTACCCTGTTTCCAAGAAACACAATTTCTCTGATGTTTAAATTGCATTTTATAACATTTTGCTACCATTTTAAATGTTAGTACCCTATATTGTATTTAATAATATAATATTTTCTATTCCCTAGGGTCATGTGGGTGTGCCAGGATTAAGAGGTGCTACTGGACAACAAGGACTCCCAGTATGTTTTGAAAGCATTCTTTGTATTTCTAACATTTTTTAAATTAACATTATTTTAACTTATGTGAATTCTGTTTGATTTTTATTACAGGGTGAGCCAGGTGACCAGGGTGAACAAGGACCAAAAGGAGAGAGGGGATCTGAAGTAAGTTGAAATTCAGACAGTTTAAAATTTACTGTTGACCTGAGAAAGCAGGAGCATGAGGAATTACTATTTATTGTAAATCAATAAATCATTCATCCCTCCAGAACAGGAATCGCCATGGCCTCTAAATAGGGTGTTTCTTAATAATTGTTCTAAAGCTTGATTATTGACTGATCAATATATTTGACAGTCATCAGTCATCCAAATTTCCCCTTATAAGAGCCTTCTCTGCCTTTGTGAAAAATTGCATAGGATTTTCCCAAACTTTTAGTCTGTTCTTGCATTTTCAAACAAAAATGCCGATGAACCTTAAAACCAACATTGTAGAGTGAAAAATGTATCAGTGAAACCTACTTACTTGTGGAACATGTTTAAAAAAATGATTCAACAGTACTTATTAAAGCATGATAAGGAAGGCTTCATTCAGAACTATTGTGATAGGTGTAGAAACCACTGCAATGGGATCTCGCAGTTAAGGAGAGAGAGCCTGGGCTGTATTTGGAAATGGATGGAAAATGTGAATGGTAATGTTGCTAAGAGGGAACATCAAGGATAAGAGGGATTCTGGCAAAGCCAGCCTAACTGGGTTCTTGCTGAAGATAGACCAGTGTGATTGAATATCACCTGGGGGATGGTAGAGGATCAAATCCTGTCAAATATTAAGGATGACTGAATATTGAGGGTGTTCAGGAATCAGGAGAGGTGGTTGCTAAACTGACTTAGCAGAGTTCATTACTAAAGATGAATTTTGTAAGGAAGTACTCAGATGTGCTGGAAGTTTCAGAAGCTTAAGTCTGACCCATGGAAAGAATCTTTGTCATAATAACCATAAGATAAGTTTTTTGGTATCAAGCAGATTACAAAACTGTTGGTTTATTGAGTTTAGCTTTCTCTTTCCCTGTGCACCCACAGACATTGTTTTAATCTTGTATAACAACTGTCTTAGCCGGCGCCGCGGCTCACTAGGCTAATCCTCCGCCTAGCTGCGCCGGCACACCGGGTTCTAGTCCCAGTCAGAGCGCCGGATTCTGTCCCGGTTGCCCCTCTTCCAGGCCAGCTCTCTGCTGTGGCCCGGGAGTGCAGTGGAGGATGGCCCAGGTGCTTGGGCCCTGCACCCCATGGGAGACCAGGAAAAGCACCTGGCTCCTGGCTCCTGCCATCGGATCAGCGCGGTGCGCCGGCCGCAGCGCGCCGGCCGCGGCGACCATTGGAGGGTGAACCAATGGCAAAAGGAAGACCTTTCTCTTTTTCTCTCTCTCTCACTGTCCACTCTGCCTGTTAAAAAATAATAAATAAATAAATAAACAAACAAACAACTGTCTTTATCATTCACAACATCAGCTCATTGCTGCCCTGCTTTTTGTGACATGCTGGCTACCCACACTGTTTATTGTAAACTAAATTCTTAAGAAAATGTACTATAGTTTAATAATAATTATATGAGAATGGATAAAAAGTGATGAATTTGAGATCATATTTTTCTTAATTTGTTAAGCACTCTTCACCCATACTTGAGTTTCCTGCTAGTAAAATATAAAATGAGGTTGAATCAGATATATTTAAATAGATTATCAGTTATCTTTAAGCCATTTTGAATAATCTTAGGATCTATCCAATAATTTCCTGTCTAGTTCCTTAATAATAATTAATAAATAATAAATTTAAGTAACCTGTCACAGGCAATTCTGAATAAGGAAAGAATGAAGAAAAAAAAGACAGTTTCCACATTCACTTAGGATTTTAATATCAAGGATAGAAAAGGTTATAGAATAAACTGTGAATCTAAAAACACTGCAACTACAATCATGCTATTTCTGTATATTTGCATTCCATGCCTAAGAATGCAAGAGGATCTCCTAAAACTTGATCCTTAAATGTCTAGTCTTTTACAATTAATAATTTCATATTTAGAGTTTTTTTTTTCCTTGTTAACATGTCTTAGGAGGAAGAAATTTTCTGATGCTTATTAGTATCTATTCCAATTATGCCCATGAAAAGCTAATACTCTTTTTAAACAGCTCCAGCCCACACGGTCAGCATTCCCTGTGTTGGAGCCAAAAGGCATTGAGAAGGCATAGTTTAAATTCTGTATAATTTAGGGAAATCAGTTCTTTCCATCTTGAGGCATTTCTGGCATACTTAAGGGCATATTCAAAAACCTCTTAGAATTAAAAATAGTATTAATTGCTACTAGAACAGCCACTGACTATGTATTATTTACTGGAGACAGTAATGGCCAGATGGGTCCTGTCCAGTTGCTGTCATTTTGTTTTTGCAAAGCTTTAAATTTATTTTTTAAATGTGGAAATGCCTTTTAAAATAATCTGGACAACACTCTCATTTTTCAGATGAAGAAATTTAAGTCCCAAAGAGATTATGAGTTACCTCAGATCATAGAACTAATCAGCAACAGAACCAACACTAGAAATTCTAATTCTTGACTCTCATTATTATATAAACACCTTCTATTACTTTGAAATCTTTCATAAATTAAGTAAAGTATGATTAATTTTATTCAACCAACCAAATCATTTATTGGGCAGGAGACTAGAGAGCTATAAAAACAAAGAGTATGACAAAACCAGTTGCAGAACCATTACATTTTGTAACGCAAATTTGAATAAGCTGTCCTGTAATAGCTTTCAGAGACCAGAACTCAGGCCAAAATGTTACTTTCCTCCAAACATGAAATTCCAGATTTTAGTAAATTGAAATTTCTTAGTTAAAAAGGGAGTATTTCTTGCTTAATTCTATAAGTCTATTTGCTTTATAAGGTTACCCTTTCAAAGGAAGTTAGAACTAGCAAAATATTGGCATAACTGTCCTTGAGCCTTATTTAAACAAAAAAATTAATTAATTAATTAATTAAAAATAAGGGTTTACAGTAACATTGCATGTTTAAGATATAATATCCCTTATCAAAAAATTAGAAAACCTTTTTTAATATTCTATTAACTTGAAGAATGATAGTTTACCAAAGTCTTTGTCAACATACTTGATTTCAAATGGGCCACTCTATTATTTTTCCATGTTAGTCAGGCAAAGAAGAAAACACATTTTTACATGAACTCCAACAACTCCATATTAAATTCATTTGTCTTTCCTGTTACAAAAGAAGAAAAGTTTATTTGTTGATTTATAAGGTACTTACACTTAAATAAAAATACTATGAACCAGTTAAGCTTGAAAGTAGCATAGACAACTTTTTGGTGACTAGTAGAAGAGTGACTTTTTTTTTCCTTTCTTATAGTACCAGCTGAATTAATCATTTCCTGACACCTTGAATGATAATGTATTTTCTTTGCCTTTGCCCAATCCTAATTTCCTACTGAACAGAACTCCCCTATGTAGGATTAACATTTACTTCTTAATTTACTTATAAAACTATCTGGCAACTTTGAGGGATTTTTAATCTACAAATTCAAAAAATTTACTATCTTAACTAGTTTTCAGCTTCTATAAAAAAAGATACTGTAGACTAGGTGTCTTGCAAACTTAAAAATAAAAATTATTTCTCATGGTTGTGGAAACTGAAAACCCAAGAACCAGGGTGACAGCATGGTCAGGTTCTAGTGAGGGCTTTCCTCCCCTGTAGACTGCCAACTTCTCATGTGTGCCTTACATGGCAGAAGGAAGGCAAGAGAGCTCTCTGGGGTCCCTTTTATAAGGACATTAATGCCATTTATGAGGGCCCCACCCTCATGATTTCATTACCTCCCAAAGGCTGCAGCTCCTAATACCATTCCATTAGAGTTAGGATTTCAACATAAGAATTTGGTGGGCACACAGATATTCGGTCCACAACAGGGAAGGATATTTTGCACTTTGGTGGTTTTTACATATTTTAAACCTCCATTGTAAAACTATGGTTTTTCTAGCCAGTCTGCTTTGTTTTAGTTGTAGTGACAACAATTGTAATAAGGAAATTTTCTTGAATCAAACATCCATAATCAAAGAGTTTTGTTATTTATAAAACACTTCTATCTAATGTTCAACAAATAGATTTTGCAATAATTGTCATACTATAATTAGTAAATATACTTTAAAATATTTTTCATATTCATAATTTCCTTTATTGTTACTCTTTTGTGAGCTGCTTCCTGATGCCCATCTAAATCTGGTAACAGTTGTCATGATGATATGCCTGTAGATGGAGATTTCAGGACACAATATGTAACTCTTCTGAAATAAAACCTAATATAATGATCACTCCAAAATGTAACTGATTTGAAGAAATCCATGAATCTCTCTGTTTTTATTTTGTTGCTTGAATGTTTGAAATAAAACAAATTTATGTATGTTATACTAAAAGTGTAACTCTGTTCTTTATAATGGCACTTATGGTGGTAGAAACCTAAATGGTAGAAATCTAACCAGTTGGCTGCTTTTAACTCTGTCCATTCAAATAGCATTTGATTTAGTTTTCCCCACTCATTCTCTTCTCAAGCTTGCAAGTACATTCAGGTGCAATAGTGAGGAGTCAGAGCAGAATTTGAATTGAACCTTTGGGCGTTGTCTGCTCACACTAGCATCAGTGGAAATGCACATCATCCCTTATGGCCCCCAGTTGCCATCATCCCACCATGTTGGCATATACCTGGGCCCTTCAGGAACAAGTTCTGTGACCCATTCTGGCATGTAGTCATTTGCTCATCTCATATGCCAGGCCTCCTCAGTTAAGATTCTCAGGGCAATAGCCTTCTGCTGTTAACGAGAAATAACATTCTGCTCCACCCCACACCCTCCTGGATGGTTAGAGGACTCAGAGAGCTTTCTTAAGCCCACTGTACTAAACATTGCATGCAAAAATTTCTACTCTGTTGCTGACACTCAAGGCCCTTTATGTGGACTTCTCAGAGAGGCCTTTGTATCCATAGGCGCCATCGCTGCACTCAGATCTCCAGGCTCAGCTGGGAGGATTATTGTTTCTACCCATCTCCAGACTTGAGGGCAGGCTGGAGCAAAGAAATCACTATCGGTGTCTTAGCAGTCTTGCTTCTCTTCTGAATTTCCTAACCCTTTTCCTCAACTTGAAGATCCTTACACAGGAAAAACTCTCTTACATTATCATCATTCTCTTAAATCAGTAAGTTTTATGCCCTCCTTTATAATTCCTGATTTTTGATAAGATAAATTTTAATGTTTAAAATCAGACTTTTTAATTACAAAGCATGATTCTGAAAATGAAAACATTTTTCTCAAATCATTACCTCGACCATGAGTTTCACTGGATTAGTTTGAAATTCCTAATCAATGACATGTCTAATTTGGAAGTCAAAAGCATATAACAGATGTATCTTTGCATAAAAAGAAATACCACGAAGGTTAAAAACATACTAGGTAATTTCTTTCCCCCTCACCAATATTATCCCTGACATAATATGAAAAGGTATGTTCTGCCACCTAAATGATTGAGTCATTCCCTAGAGAGGAGCAAAATAGGAAACCCTGAATTATCAGTTTGCATGCTTTTTAATAAGCACTATTCAAGTTGATTGAAATAGAACAGTTTTTAATATTTAAACCAGTTTCCATTTGCTTTTCTACTTTAATTGTGCTCTGAAAGCCATTATCTTACTACAGGTATCATAATTTCCAGAAGTTGTATATACTTCAACTAAACCAAGGTCTCCAACTATCTCATTTTCTAATTTACTCACATGTAGAAAGACTCTGTATTAGTGACTTCTAAACAAAAAAAAAAATGGTTTTTGAAGTAGGAGTTAGAACCTCCCAATTACTTCCCCATTACCAAATTCTAACAAGCTGAGATTCTTACAGAAATGTCAGTCTTCCTTTGACAACATACATTTTTTCTTCTTGGGATTTCTTTTTTCAGTCCCTGTTTATTTTTGGTTCTTGGAGAAATTTCATTTTTTCAATATGAAAATATCAAGGCCAACACAAAATAGAAATATGAATCATAGGATATGGCAAAACCAAAGGAATGGGGAAAAGACAATAGCAAAGGGAAGAGATGAGATGTTGTGAAAAGACACAACAATAGGGTGTCCTATTATCAGGAATGATATTGGGGAAAGAGGAAGAAAAGGCAGAAAGGTATTTCTGGGAACTTAGGGACCAAGGTTGGTCTCCCTCTCCTTTTGATTCCCCTTTCTTTGATCAATGCAATGAGTGAGAAAGATAAAGTAGGACAGGGCAGATCCTACTTGACAAGCAGGGCAGATTCCTCCAAAGGAAAATGAAAGTTCAGAACAGAGTTTGGAATGAGGCTGAAATGGAGATAATACTGTTAACACCTCCCCTGAAGCAAAGATGGATCGTGAAAATACCTGGAAATGATGATTTTAGTAGCTTCAAATCATCTCTCTACAACTGTTCTAGAATGGAAAATCCTATTATTCCCTTGCAGTTACTTTTACCTGTTTGTCTCTCATCTACTACTTGGGATTATCTGCATTTCCAGTCCACAGTTGGCTCTAAATGGGATATCGATGAGACCTGGCTGCTTGGGGAATTATTTTGGAAACAGTGGAAGATATTAATTGGATAGATGGGAGGAGTGTACACCAGAAGGAAATATGTTGTAACCCAGAGTGACAGAATTTAGGTTTCCCAGCGTGGAAAGAGAGGGGACCCGTTCACCAAGGATTTATTGAGCTCCTTCTATGTGCCAGACACTGTTCTCCCATTCTGGGCGTGAAGGGAATAAGATAAGGGCAGCAAGCACAAATTCTGAGAGAGAAGAATGGGCAGTTGAAGAGGAAAACAAAGGGAATCAAGATGCATGAGATGATGGGGTTCTCTGCCTTAGGTTTCCTCTTGAGGCCCCCTCATCAAAGTTCTCGTCCTCTTCTGCAGTGGCATCCTGGTACTGCAAATACTTGGAGATGAGTTCATTCATGTTGCTCTCAGAAGTGTTTAAGCTTATTCTCAGAAGATGTAATATCTTCTAAAGTTTCTTCTTTTTTTTTTGTTATTGTCAAATTAAATCTTTGTCATTATTTGTCTTCAAGTTTGAATACCTTTAACATCCCATTTTGGTGGAATTCTCCTGTTTTTGAAAACTTTGGATGATATCTGACAATCCGATTCTTTTTCTTATTTGTGAACCCATGAACTCTTTTGCACATTTTTCTTAAAATAATTTTAGGATATCATCAGAACAATGGCATGATTTGCAAAGGCAAAGTTCCTAACTATCCTGGCAGACCAGTTACTGCTGAAGTAATTATGATTTCAAACATCTCACACATGGAAAAACAGACCTTGATTCACAGTTCTCTGTGCTTCCAGAGAAGCACATTTTAGGGTATCAATCATTGTCTCTCATGACACTGTAAGTGCCTTGTGAGAGGAATATTGCCTTTGCATTATCAGCATGGAACAGAGTTCCTGATACTTGTTTAATGCCTGTAGTTAGTAAATGTTTTATGCATTAATTTAGCCTCTTTCAAAACAAGACAAAGGTTCTACCCAATAGTGGGGACATTTATTAAACAATCTATTCAATTACCTTTTAGAATTGTGATTTAAGTTCTTTAATCATAGTATTAAGAGCAAGAAAGAAAACTATGGAGATCTGGAACATTCTCTCATTTTCAGATGAATAAAAGTGACTCCCAGGAAAGCTAAATGGCAATCCCATGGTATATAAGTAGTTATATCAGCACTTCCTGTGGCATCCAGGTCTCAGCATTCTTTTCTATGGCTTTACTGAAGTAAATTTGCTATAGTCAGTTGATAACTGTGCTTCCCCTTTTCAGGGCCCTAAAGGCAAAAAAGGAGCTCCTGGTCCTCCTGGAAAACGTGGGGTTCCTGTAAGTAATAGACCTCTTTCATCTTTCTTATTTTTCTACATAGAATCAGCAACTTCAGCAAGCAGAAAAGTTAGGGGCCAATTATGTCATGTTGGATAAATCAGATTGTCTTGAGAGAAAAATTAAATCCATGCTGGAACACAGAGGGAACAAACTATGACCACTAACTTCAAAACCAAACTTGCTGTTTAAATAGAAGTTCTAGGACTGAAAGATGCTATTTGCCTGTTTTATGGAGCCCATTCTGTGGACTCTGATGGGAACTTGGATCATAACTAAATGAATAATGACAAAGGTCAGAGATTTTCAAGCATAATTAAAACGACATGAGTTGGATTTTAAATGGAAGACTCAGCCTCTCAGTCTCCTGACAAATAGAACAGAATGTCTCACAATTTTTTTTAATTTTTCTTTTCTATTCCCTTTCATCGAAGAACAAAGATTAATTTTTCATTAACCATCAGTTTTTTCCTCTGCCCTGATAGATATGTGTCAGCTGACTTAAGATTTCCCGTTTGTGCCCCTATAACCAAGGCTTTGATGCCTGGTTTGGATGGACTATATTGGATCAAAATAGGTAGAGAAAATGAACGTAAAATACAATCACATTCAGATCAGAGATTCCTACATATAAAATCTAGTTGCTCAAGAGGAGAAACTAAAACTTCAGGCACTTCTTCCATTATATAATTACTTTTTCTTAATTTTTTATTTATTTTCCCCCAAAGAAACTTTATGTTTAAAGAATACAGACTTCATGCATTTCATAAATACAACTTTAAGAATACAGTGATTCTTCCCACCATACCCACACTCCCATCTACTCTCTCCCACTCCTCCTCATCCTCTTTCTCCCATTCCAGTACCATTCTCCACTAAGATTCATTTTCGGTTAACTTTATGCATATAAGACCAACTCAATACTAAGTAAAGAGTGCAACAATTTGCACAGTAAAAAAAAAGACAAAAATTGTTTCTCAACAGGGTTGAATAAAGGGTTATTCAAAGTCATTCCAGGGCCGGCGCTGCGGTTCACTAGGCTAATCCTCCGCCCAGCGGTGCCGGCACCCCGGGTTCTAGTCCCGGTCGGGGCGCCGGATTCTGTCCCGGTTGCCCCTCTTCCAGGCCAGCCCTCTGCTGTGGCCAGGGAGTGCAGTGGAGGATGGCCCAGGTGCTTGGGCCCTGCACCCCATGGGAGACCAGGAAAAGCACCTGGCTCCTGGCTCCTGCCATCGGATCAGCGTGGTGCGCCGGCCGCAGCACGCCAGCCGCGGCAGCCATTGGAGGGTGAACCAACGGCAAAAGGAAGACCTTTCTCTCTGTCTCTCTCTCTCACTGTCCACTCTGCCTGTCAAAAACAAAACAAAACAAAACAAAAAAAAACAAACAAACAAAAAAAACAAAGTCATTCCATCTTGAAGTTAATTTCACTTCTTTTTTTTTTTTTTTTTTAGAAACTTAATTAACTTTAACCAAGCAACCAAGAATGATACATCTTTTGGGAGCACTTAGATATAGTTACAATACAACTCTTTGAGAACAGTGGTCCTGCATGGGAAGTTAGTGCACAGTGATTCTTATTATTAATTTAACAATTAACACTCTTATGTATGACATCAGTGATCAGCTGAGGCTCTTGACATGAGCTGCCTAGACTATAGAAGCCTTTTGAATCCACAAACTCCATCAGTTTTTAGACAAGGTCATAGTAAAATGGAAGTTCTCTCCTCCTTTCAAAGAAAAGTACCTCCTTCTTTGATGACCACTTCTTTCCACTGGAGTCTCACCCACTGAGATCCTTCCTATAGGACACTTTTTGCCTCAGTGTCTTGGCTTTCCATTCCTGAAATGCTATTGTGGGCTTTTCAGCCAGACCAGAATGCCTTAATGGCTGATTCTGAAGTCAGAGTGCTATTTAAAGTGATTGTCATTCTATGAGTCTGTTGTGTGGACCGCAGAATGTTGGAACATTCACTCCTTTTTAATTCTATTATTATTACCAGAACCTTAACCCTAACCATATGATCACTCTAACACTGAAGGTGGTACTTTTACCACCCAGCTTGAGGGGATTTGGGGCCCCCCATGGCAAGTTTTTGATCTGTATCCTGAGAAGTCGGTAGGAATGTATGCAGAAGTATACAACTTTAGTTACAAACTTCATACACTTCATAATTACAACTTTAGGAACACAATGATTCTTGCCACCATGCCCACCTTCCCACCCATACTCTAAATCCCTCTTCCTCATTACTCTCTTATATAATTACTTAATTCAGGGTGGCAGCCAAAAGAGTCATGACTTGTTTCTTGGGAAGATAGCACATACAAGGGTTTGCGATGGTGAGTAAGCCTGTAGCCTATGTTAACAGCTGCATATTAAAGACCTTTACTTCACAGCTAGTTGTGCATGAAAATTACCCAAGAATTGTACTAAGACTGTAACAGTTACTCAGTAAATTGTAGATTAGCTTGGCATTTTTCTTAGGTAACTTTTTTAAAATAGCTATCTGTTGAATCTAAATTGTAAATCATTTATGAACCTAAAAAAAAAAAAACAGAAAATGTGTACTACAGTATAAAAATATAGCTCCTCCAATAAATATGAAAATATATTGTTACTTAAACATCTGTACATCATCTCTCTATAATGCAAGTAATTTTTCATTATCAAGGGACTTCCAGGCCCCCCTGGGCCAAAAGGCATACAAGGATACCATGGACAAGATGGGATTTCAGGAAATCCTGGAAAAGTTGGCCCACCAGGAAAACAGGGACTTCCTGTAAGTAGTGTGAATTTCTCTTTGCTCTTTATTTCTTACATGTTGTCTCCTTGCTTTATTGAAATTATATGTATGATTTCCAGGGGCTATCAATAGGTGAGTTATCTTGGATATTTTATATCTAATATCCCATACTATTAGTAATTTATGGCATTTTATACATATAAAATCATGTAAAGAATTATAAAGAAACAAAATTTTAGGGCTATACAACCTGTCTGTACTTTGAGTTCATCAAAAGTCTTAGGCCAACTTTGGAATAGCTAGATCTTGGCAGTAACTCAAGATCAGTTCAACTGAAAATTATTTTCCCTTTACTTTTACAGCCTCACCATTTTATAATTGTGTGTATGTTTTCTTTCTGTTCATCTAGGGATGATGCAATGATGTATGTACATTTATTTTATGCAAATTTCTATATTATTTGCTTGATCAGAAATTTTTAAATCATAGTTTTGTCTTCACTCAACTGTCCATCTTTCATTCCTTAATGTTATCCTAATCCAGATAGTTTTGCTATCTTAGCTTGTGTTTTCATTCAGACCACTGAAAGAATTAACTACTCACTTTCAAGAACACAATAGAATTTACCCTTTTACATTTCCACTGTTTGGATATGATTATCTGTTGATTTATTTTCCTTTTAAATACATAAAGTTATTTATTCAAATCTAGCATGTCGGTATTCCTAAACTCAAATTCAGATTAATATTTTTCTTTACTGTGGTGAGTTATCTCATTAAATAAAAATATGAAACTGTGACATAATTAATTTTAATTATTTCCTACATAAATATCTATTCAGATTCTGTCTGAAAAGACAACTATTTTTAAGGAGTCATAACATGGTGTCTGTTTAGGAGGAAATGTGTCAATATGTCGGAACATCAGAGGATCAGTCACATTAAGGTCTAGACAACCCTGGCAGCCAAGCTGAAGTTTTCAATTAAAACAGTTACTTTAGAGACTCCCATCGATACTATCAGTCTAGTTAGAAAAGATTCCAGTTAGGATCCAAGTCCTAAGGGGAGCTCTTGCCCTGAGCCTTCATCTTTCTGTTGCTCTGCAGGCTTACCACGTAATAGTTTTAAGATGAAATTGTGAAAGTTTAAAAACACAACAGCCAAATCCTTTGAATTCATCTGAGAGTCTATATTTTTGTGGATTAGGTTTCATGGGAAATGTTATGGTGAAACTTTTCCTATTTCTTTGGATAGCATCTTGAGAGTTCAAACAAGGAAAACCACATTTGAAAAAGTATATATCTTAAATCTTGTTGCTGTACCCAGCTTTATGTGGATGTCTCCAGGAGTTCATAAGAATAAAAAGGGAGTTGTAAATACTTTCATGTGCTGAATAATGACATGTTAGTCATTATGTGATGAGCTACATATGTGATGGTAGTCCACAGAGAGTAAAATTGAGCTCAAAAATTCCTATTGTCTAATAACATTATGACAATCAAAATGGCTGTGTTTATGGTGATGCTGGTATAAATAGATCTTTATTGCCAATAATATGAAAGTATTATACAATTATTTATGGTATATAATATTTGATCATGGTAACACACACCTATGTATTAGTCTTAAGATGAAACTGAGAAACTTTAAAAATACAACAGTAAAACCCTTTGAATTGGTCTGACAGTCTATATTTTTGTAGATTAGGTTTCACAGGAAATCTTATAGTAATACTTTTGCTGTTGGAAAAGTTACCATATTGTGGATTACCATCTTTTGGATTATGTTTCACAGGAAATGTTACATTGAAACTTTTCCTACTGGAAAAGTTCTTTTTATTGGAAAAGTTATGTTACCAGTTTGTATATTTATATACTATGATGTTTATCATTATTTTATTACTACTTTTCTTCAAAAAGATTCACACAAAGATACAATGACAAAATTGATTAACAATGCATTCCTCAGAACATATCATAATGCATAACTGTGTTAATAGGAAATAAATGTTTAATATTTTATTAACTTACTATTTAGTTAACTGATTAATTAACAGAAGTAAGAAGTAATACAGATATCCATTCCAGTTGGGGATAATTGAACCAGTATCCTAAATACAAAGGTACTTCAAAAAGTTCATGAGTAATGAATTAAAAGATAATGCGTAATTATCATAGACTTTCTGTGGCACTCTTATGTATGTTTAATAAGCATTTCAGCATTTGAGATATTTATCAGATCATTTGTGGCTCATCAAAAAGATCGATTATTTTTACATCAAATCACTTAAAAATAACTTCTTTCTGGAAATATGTCATTACTCATACTGGAGTGCCTTGTTCTAGTCTTAGCTCTTCTGATTATGATTCAGCTTCCCACTCTTGCATACTCTGCCTTCTGAATAAAATGAAAATAATTTTTAAATAAAAATCATTTTCTCTTGCATAAAATGTACAATGTAGCAACTGATTGTTAGCTGCCACTGATTTATAGCATGAAAATATATGTTTTTTCATAATTCTACATCCTTCTTCAGTAGTGAGATAATAATCAAGCACAGTAATTTAATGCCTAAGAGAAAATCAATTTACAAAATATTAAATTAATGTAAATTAGATGCTAATCCATTCCGTTCCATAGAGTACCACTCTATGCCTATTCCTGGAATCTGTCACACTAGAATTATTGGCTGTGTAGCTAAAAGCTCGTGTATTACACAAGAACACTAGCTCTGTCTACAATATTCAAGAATAAAGGGGATTCTGGCATTGTGGCATAGCAACATAAGCCTGCACCTGTGATGCCGGCATCCCTTATGGGCACCGTTGAAGACCCTGCTGCTCCACTTCCAATCCAACTCCCTGTTAATGTGCCTGGGAAAGCAGTAGAAGATGGCCTATGTCCTTGTTCTCCTGCCCCAAGCTCCAGGCTTCGGCCTAGCCCAGCTCCAGCCATTGCAGCCATTTGCAGAGAAAATCAGCAAATGGAAGGGGTGTGTGTGTGTGTGTGTGTGTGTGTGTGTGTGTCTCACTCTCTCTTGCTCACTCTCTCACCACCTGACACTGCATCATTGGTCTGTCAGTGCCAGGCCTCTGTACTATGAATAATTTCTAAACTGTCCTGCACATCAGGCTTCTCCCTCAAGATGTAGATGGAAATGTTGGGCAATTTGACATAAGTCACCTCCAAAGTTCTGAATTCCACAGGAGGCTGAACATTTTAAAAGATGTTTTAGCTTTGGATTCATTATTTTTTTAGGCTTCCTTCCTCATTTGTCTTTTACTCTAGGTACAAAGTTGTTGGGATAACCATATTAATGAATTTGTGGCATATTATCATCCTACAAATGTTGCATGGACCTAGTCTGATTTTCTTTAATTTCCACTCTTATTCCCTTCTCCTTAAAATAGCCAACTATTTTATGTGATATTTTGTTTAATTTATTAAAGATGCAGACAGAGAGAGTGACAGATAGGGAGAGTTCTCACCCACTAGTCTACTCCCCAAATGTACACAGAGCCAGGGAAGGGCTGGGACTAAAGCCAGAGATTGGGAATGCAATCCAGATCCCCCATACAGGTAGTTGGAACCAACAGCCTGATCTATCACCACTGCCTCCAAGGGTCCACAATAGTAAGAAGCTGTATTCAAGAGCTGGAGCCAGATATGGAACCCAGATACTTCCATATGGAACATGGACTTCCCATTTGGCATATTTACCATTAGGCCAAAGGCCCACTCCTGTGTTTTCATGTATATTTTTATTTGTATCTATTATCCTAGAAATGTCTAGGACTTTTGTGGATTTATCTTGAATATTATAGGTGATCTTAGGCCATTCTGCTTCTTAATTCCTTTATTAAATATCAAATTTTTAAGACTCATTCAGTTTGCAATAGGTATATCAGCTTCCCCTCTTCTAATTGGCACAATCTTCATGCTGTTTATTAACTACATTTTAACTAGCAAAAGAAATTTAGGTAGGAACAACACACATCTGTATCTAGAATATGTATCTACATCTGAGTATAATTGCAGCTATCTCCAACTGATCCCCCAGGAACCATTGGATTACCACCATAATTACTAATTTTAAAAAGATTGACTGAGTTCTACTAAATGCTCCATCTTGTTTATCCCATTATTGAGAGCCTCCTCTATGGAGGAGTTTGCATAGAAACTAATTATCTTCACAGTGCTTCAATTTTAAGAGACTTACCTAAATTCATCTTTCTTAGACCTTATATTAGAGCATTTTTCATCATCACAATAATAAAATACCTGAGACAAGCTACTTTGTAAAGAGACAAGCTATTTTTTCACAGGTTTGAAGGCTGAAAGTCCAATATAAAGCAACCCCAGTCAGTCTGACCTCTTGTGAGGTTCTAATGACAGATAACATCAAGGAAGCTCATATGGCACCAAGAAATCACATTTCCAGACAGGAAGACAAAAATCTGGATGGGGCTGGGTTTCTTCTTTTTATAACTCTCCCATGAGAATTTGCTCAGGGTCCCACAAGAATTGCCCAGTTTCTTCCAAGGGCAGTACCTCTAACGACCTAAGACCTCCCATTAGACCAACCTCCCAATATAGCCACACTCAGGACCAAACTCCCAGCCATGTCCCTTAGATGACAAACTACATCCAAACCATAAAAGATTTCTTTTCAATCTCATGTCGAATTCCTTTACTAGCTGGCTAATCTCTTAGTATTTCATTCTGATTAGTGTAGATTCATATTTCAAGTCATTGTCCCAAGTCCAGCCCACTGAGAAGAGTTCTTCCTACTAATGTCTTTTGGAATCTGGTGTAGCAGCCATCTACTTCTGTCTGATGTTGATAGTCAATGCAGAGCTGGCGCCGTGGCTCAATAGGCTAATCCTCCACCTTGCGGCGCCGGCACACCGGGTTCTAGTCCCAATCAGGGCGCCGGATTCTGTCCCGGTTGCCCCTCTTCCAGGCCAGCTCTCTGCTGTGGCCAGGGAGTGCAGTGGAGGATGGCCCAAGTGCTTGGGCCCTGCACCCCATGGGAGA